CCCATTGGTTCAAAGCAGCCTAAGCCTGTGGCTTATTCACACTTTTGTTCCGTTACAGATTCAGCATGGTACATTTTTTAAAAATGCAATAACAGTAACATGTTTTTTTAAGGAGAGGGGGCTGTGATATACAAACCAAGGTTAATAATGAATAAATCAAATTTTCTGATTCTTGATTATTTTGAAACTTTAACTTGCTTGCATTTTTGACAGTATCTTATCATCAAATTTACGTGATTTTAGACTTAAAAATCGTGGCCTGGGGTCCTTGTAGCTGAGAGAAATGGGCTCCACTGGTCAAATACTGTTGATGCAAACATTTCCTTGAATGACAGTTGACTGCATGGGCTCATAAAAATATATACATGCATAAGCGCCATTTACAGTGATGTAATTTATAATAATTAACCAGCTGAACCAACACTGCAAGCTGAGTTTTTCCTCTCCAACACGATTTTCTAGCAATATTCATCCAAAGCAATTTTTGTCCTTCTGTGAACTTGTACGGAAATTTCCTCTGATGTCCTTACAGAAGTCTTGATATTGCTAATGGGCAGGTTGGGTAATTTTTAACGAACGAATGCTAGTGGTTAGAGAATGCATCAGCCATGTTGCAGAAACTAAAAACTGGTGAATAGGATCTTCATTCACTGGTGATGCTAGCAAGGAACATGAAAACTCCTCCATTTACAGATTTTCCCCCTTGAAATGTTTCCCATACCCTTGAACATCAACAAGTTGACTCCTGAAAGTTCAGAAACAATAACAACTACTCGTTCATCACTTCGCGGTCTGGTACCTTTGCAAAAAAACACCATCCTACACATGCACTGTGATTAACGCGGTATTGATTTATACAGTGAGAAGAAGCCTGATGGAGTTGCCTTTGAGCCCAGACTGACGTCTGGTGTTATTAAAGAGATGGTGGAAGGGGGGTTGAGGAGTTGGCCCAGCTTGAGCAAATAGTAGGTCAAAGAGCGGATGGATGCAGATGTTCTTGGGATCGGCGGTATCTTTGACAGAGGGTAGCGCTTGGATGGAATGGGGGGGGTGGAACTCTGGGGAGAAATCAATTGCAGATTGACCTCTGCTTTTACCCGACACAGAAATTGAGACAACCTCCGAAGAGAAAAGCCTCTTTACTTGGACACGTCAAGTGGACTTCACAGCATTCCTCACATGTTGCAAAAACAAGAAGGAACTCGCTCAATTTTGCCTCAACTTCCTAGAGGCAGGCCTACCTTCAACGAAACAGCATGTCAAGCTGATTCATCTAATTATGTTGCATTTCACATCTACTGAGCCATCGCGACAATCCTGTACCCCGTTAATATTAAATATATTCCGTAATACCGTGAAAAAAGAGCAAATTTTTTTTGGGAGGGGGGCAAAAGTGTTTGGGGGACCAGAAACTTTGGACTTTTTTCAATGTAAACTCTTGTGGCTTTGTTGAGAGGTGAAGTTGCCATTTTGGGGCTTGGGTGGACAGCTTCTGTTTTCCTCCTTCCTCTGGATCCACCAATGTTCATGACAGGAAGGCATTTCATCTTTAATTTGACCATACAGGTCCCTCTCAAATGACGTCACTTCTGGCCTGCAGATGCCCACGTGCATCAGGATTTTTTACTTTAATTTTTGGGACGTGCATCGACTGCGTCGTATTTTGAAGATATTGGGATCAGCGCGCACGTGATTTTAGACCTACATGTATATTAGTGCCCGACAAAATGGACCATTTTGTGTGTTCAGTGGGATAAAGCTGCACGAATGTTTGGGAGCTTGATGACACAACCTCCCCACACCTGAAGAGAAAAGAAAGTGTCCCTCAGCTTCTTTTTTTTCACTGCACAAAAAAATTAATTTTGTGGTCTCGAATATCAAATATCTTCGGCTGCCTCACATGAAAATTCCTACACTTTTGGCCATGAGATGAAGCTATCATCCAAACTAAACTCCAAGCTGTTTCTGGAGGGTGCACTGGACGTCCGCCTCTTGCATATTTTCCTTTCCCATTTCTAAAAGCAGATGGCTTGGAATTCCCACAAACTAAAATGCCTGTCAAGTGCGGTAATCTTCCAGTCCCTATCTAATCCCCACGGGTCAAAGATTTATCGCCTCATGGCCTGGCAGGCTGACTGACTGTTAAACAGGGCATGACGAAAACGTAAGAAGATCTTTGCTGAAACAGCCAATGATAACAGGGCAGCGGCAACAAGGTGGAAGCAAGTGCTTGGATCGTTTGCGAAATGAGAAGGATCTAGCTGGGAGCAAGAGACTGGATATCCATAATCCTGAAAGAGGATTTGAGGAGGACTTCACTCCCATTTCATGTTTAAACCCAGCTCAAAGCTTCCACTTCTTTCCTTTTTTAATTTTGGAAAGCCTGGTCACTTTATAGCTAATAACTCAACCTCTCTCCCCGAGGTCCTCTACATGAGAGCTCCACTAGGGAAATATAAATCTGGATCTAACCACAGCTTTAGAAAGATGCTTATTGAGCAGAAAATTTGCCCCATGGAGGTAGACACACAACTCAAGGAGTGCTCCCCTGGGGGGACAGCACCCTGGCATGACAGAGACAGAGGCAGAGAAAGGGAAAAACATGTTTTCTGCCCATTTGGTTGCCAGCTCAAGAGTTGCCAGAACTTTCAAGCAACCGCATGCCACTGGGTGGGATCTGAAAGCCCAGTGTATCATTAACACAGTAACTTCTGCGATTCTTGCACTATGGACAGTTCAGAAGTGGACGAAACATCCACTAACTTCGGCCTTGATTCATTATTTCATTTTATTCATTTATCCGTTATGGAGAATCAAAATGAAGAGTATAATTTTTTTACGCTTCTCTGCTTCCTCAATAATTAACCTCCAACTGCAAACAGTTACAATCGCAGTCAACTTTTACTTTCAAAAGTATCAAATTTTTCAGATATTGCTTTGGCGATTCTGAAAGAAAGAATTTTCTTTATTGGGGGGGTATATGTCTGAGAAACGGCTTTTCTTTTTTTTTCAATGACTAAATTGTTCGAAGATTGATGAGAAGGCAAAGTTCAGGTAACACTTGTCGTTGTGGTAATTACTGATCTGATAAATCCCGGCACTCTCCAGTAAGGTGCGGAAGGCAATATGGACCAGTAAGCTGTTGGAAAGTTCTTCACAGATAATATAGGAAATAAATTTGTGTGGACTGGAAGAAAAAAAAAAGACAACTTCTTAGTCAATTCGAGGGCAATTACTCTCCTGTTGTGGAAGCCATGTTTGATTAGTGAAAGAAAAAAATGCCATGCCGGACAAAAACAAAGAAAGTTATTAGTTACAAAGAAGAGCCGCTGACTTATTCGAGATTAGAGCCGGGGAAGAGACTCCTCAGTTGGTTGCTACAAATTTTTGGAAATTGCGGACGTGGTCTTGTGTCTATTTCTTCAAATATAAAATACTCCCTCCATCCGTAACAACTCAGATGTTTTGCTGGATATTGTTTAATGTTAGGCCACATTCTCCAGATGAATGTTGTATCACCCACCGAGGAGCAATCTCCCCTCACAACACGAGAAACATTCTTCAAATTGTCAGCAGGATTGCTGAACATGTATACCGATTCAAAGAACACTGCTCAAAATCTCATGCAGAGTGGCGAGGAAACTAACCTGCTTAAAGACGGCATATCCTTCAGACAAATTTGTATTGAAAGTCGGTGTCTTTAAAAACACTCCATGTGCAGACTTTCAAAGATTTGGGAGGAAATGGCTGGACTGGACAAAATCTGGCTGCTGGTATAATCTTTAAGGTGTGACATTACAGATTTGCATTTTATTGCAGTCTTGTTTGCTCAGTGAAACATTGTAAGGGCTGTAACACATGGGTTTTGTTGTAAAGAAAATAGTTTGTAAGAGTGGAAATTGAAGACAGGTGGCATCATTGTGAACTACGCTGATACTTCAGTACTTTAGAACCCCTGGTTATGTTCCACACATACCCA